CCCCCCCCCCCCCCCCGTTATTGCTTTTTTGACTGAAAAATCTTCAAATGACTGGATTTTTGAAAAATCATCATGTAATACCTTATTAACGATTTGACTGTTATATATGTAGAATGTAAGCAAAAAAGACTCAAGTCGTCACTCTCAAAAAAGAATACCAATTGAACAATTTTACGTCAAAAAAAGTATCTGGTTCACCGACAGAAATTCCATGAGTCGACATTTGCAAAGCTGAGGCGTCAAATGGACTCTTATTTAATGTTTTTTTCGCTTGAAATATGCTTGAATAAATGTAGAAGTATAGCCCGTAATAGCGTAACCGATTCCTTTCTAACCATTTTGCGTAACAAAATAAATGGCCTAGTCTCCGAGCGCCTTATTTGCAACAACATGGGCTTGGTATCTGGTAAAAAAAGGACGATGGTTCAAACTATAATATGTACTTGTACTATTCGAGTTTTGAGCTCTGATTCTTACAAATATACTATGGTGTGCATTTAAAAATGCTGCAGTTTGAACATTATCTTTACAGCTTCATTCTCACTTTGTCCTCCCCTCCCCCAACACTAAAGGTTACGCTCCTTACGCTCCTTACGCTCCTTACGCTCCCTATGAAAATAGATCTCAATAACCTTTTCTTCTTCTTCTTCACCTTCTTTTTCTCTAATTGTCTTAGAATAATTGTAGCATGTTCATTTTGTTTAATTGTTTTAAACATTACTAGGAAATGAATGACTAGGACTTGTTAATTCTACTAGGTGGGCAATCAAACACGACGAACAGCTGTTAAATCTACTAAGGAAACATCAGCATCATTTTTACGAGGATTCGATGATTCAACATTACATCCGAGACAGTGACGTCTGGCAAAGCTATAAGAGAAACAAGATCAACGAGCTACTTCAAACAACAAACAAACGGCACATAATAATAGATAAAAAACATATACCTGAACCACTTGCTGTAGCAGTGGACTTTGGAGATGCCAGTAGGTGAGTTGTAATTATTAACACACAATCCGGTGGCCTATGCTACCTCTTAACACCTATGACTTAATTAAAAAGTCATACTTTCTGCCATGAGTAGTTCAAATATTTCGCGTGCCTGTTACCTGTTTCTATTTTTTAGGAGCAGGCGTAGCTCCTTTGGTTAATGCGTGCGGGTCTACGGGTCCACTGTTCGATCTTCTTGATCTCAACGGCTGTTTCGACTTCTCTGTTCTGTGTAGCTTTAGCATTGATAATCTCGGAGGGGGGGGAGTGCTCTTTCATGGCTCGTGAAAATTGGCCAAACACTTTTTATTTCTAATTCTAAATATCGCGATACTTTTTTAATAATCAGAAGTCATTCCTCACAATCATCACGAGAAAGAGAACCAGGAGAACCAAAGAACAAGCAGCCCCTCTTTATCGTTCCCAGATCACGACGAAAATCATCAGCCATCTTACAAAGTAACGCAGCCGCTGTGGTTAAAGCTGTTTTACTTCTACGACGAAATACTGAAGAAAATAACAAAGAACCTTTAAAACTTCCCACGGTGAAACCACAGCCAGAACAACAAAGTCTAATCAAACCAAACAGTGCGCCAAGCAGATATAGATACGTCAGTGCTGCCAAGAATGATGAACGATTAAGAAATAACAGTCCCTTTCCAGCCGAATCTCACACTTCAGTAAAATGTGGTAAGAATATTCAGTGTAGTGGAACTTCACCTTTAGACCTTGACAACCAACCCAAGGAAAAACAACAAATTGCTGGGGAGAATATAAAAAGGCCCAAGAGTGTAAATGACATGTATTCCAGTGAGCAGAGCTCGAAATGTCGTTCAAAGAGCAGAGGAGAAATGGCGGGCTCTGGTTCATTGAATGAACAAAAACCTCCTGTGTCACAAAAAGTAACTTTTAACAAAGGAAAAATGAAAAGTGGTTTAAAAAAGGGAAAACCCTTAAATATTGCAGAAGAAAACACTACTGCCAATAAGAAATCAAAGGATGAACAGAAACATGTAATCCAAGATGAGGAGAAAGCCAGAACAAGTGGTTCGGGGATGGAGAAATTCGTATCAACAAGTGGTAATTTTATTGTCAAGGAGATCATTAACACAGGTAACCCAAAGCGCCTTTCGTCACCACAAGAATATCAACGTTTTGGTTTGAGTATGTTTGCTATCCTAGACAATCAAAAAGACATTAAAAATAAATTCGGTCCTAATCCGTGGGGTGTCTCCTATGCAGCCAGTAAATGGATGTCAAGAATTCGTAAAAAACGTTTGGGCATGCTCAATGAGAGCGATCAAGGCTCCTCTCCAGTACCGACTCCACTTATTGTCATCGAAGAATACGCTCCAAAAAACAGGCAGCTGAGCGATGATGAAGGCATCTCAAGTGATAGTGAGCGTAGCTCTGAAGAGCTTGAGTTTCACTCAGAAAAAGATTCAACCTACACCCAAAAGATGCAAAGAAGGTCAAGGAGTACTCCATCGCCTTCTCTCGAGAAGCTAAAAGAAGAAGACGAAGAAGAAATCGAGGAATATGAAAAGCACGAGGCAGGGAAGGCAGTGAAAGAAAGGTACAGATGTTGTGTATAAAAATTCAGAAAGTTTAAGCTTTTTTTTTTTTACTTTTTGGGGGTCCCTATTCCAAATCTTGTATAGAGAATACATTTTTTTACTTGAAGCTTCGTCAAAATATTTCAGCAGAAATTTCTTGTAGTTTTTTAAACTCGATCAAAATTCTCCTGATGCATTATTATCCCACCATCACTTAAAAACACGTTGATCGCAATACCTCAATAACGTTTTTGCTATTGCTTTGGTTGGAGTTTGTGATAAAATTAGAATGATACATGAAAGCTGTAATTAATACGATCCACTATTACACCGATCCCGGCTTTTCTTGAGTGACTACTGAGGAATGGGTAGGGGTAGTATTCCCAGTGTAATATAGAATGTCCGGCAAACAAAATCGAATTCATAAGATTTTTAAGTGGTTATCGATGTTTTAGCTCGGCTCCGACATTGCAACAGTAACTAGCTAGGGAGGAAGACCAATCAATTAGTGATCAGTGAATTAGTTTGTTGAATTTGTGAAGGTTTAAAATTTGAAGGTTTATATGTTTTTGAATATTATTAAACTAATGATTAGCACAATAAGTGAATAATATCAAGCGAGAAATACAACTATACAACTATACAACTATACAACTATACAACTATACAACTATACAACTATACAACTTGTTAAAATTGAATTTGATTGATTGTTATTGTAGCTGGTATACTTCTATTCACCAAGCAAGAGATCAGTCACGATCTTATTTAGAGCAAATAAGAAAAGAGCTGGACGTATTACAACATAACCGCAAAGAAAGAAGACGTAGGCGTGGAAAACTTCAAAAAGAAGGATCAGTGACGACAAGCGAGGATCAGCTACTTTATAATGATGTCAAGAGTGAAGAAATCAATGACGAATGTAAAGATAACGAGCCTGACGCTGTAAGACTTTTTTTACATATTAACAAGGGACGGAAGGACGGAGGGACGGAGGGACGGAGGGACGGAGGGACGGAGGGACGGAGGGACGGAGGGACGGACTTTTTAAATTGTATGAGATACACGGCTTTTTTGTCCCACTGATACCTTAACATTTTTTTATTTAGACGGTTGACAGTTCCGAGTCTTCAGCTAATCAAAGGCATCGTCAGCGAAAATATTCCACTAGAAAAAGATCTAGAACTCATTCCACGGTATGTTCATGAAACCCCCAAAAATGTTTAGTTTTATTATTTTGTCTATCAATAGAATAAAAAAAGGAATTAARATGAGCATGAGGTAAGGATCAGCTTGATATTTATTGATTTGTGAGAATAGCATGAAAATGTTTTCTAACGTAAGGGAGAAATAAGAGAGAGCAAAAAAATAACAACTACTCGAGATTTGGGATGACTGAAAAATGGCAAGAAGCCCCACAGAATCGAACTCTATTTATTGCTTCATTTCATTACATCTCGCATTAATAATTTTTCTTTTATTCATTTATTGTTACCATTTTTCTTTCCACTACAGTCAACTGCTCCGGATAACCAATCATTCGATCAAGGCTCTTCAAAAAGTAATGGTTCAGTACGCATCGGCAGGAAGTTCTCTAATTTGCAGATGCGTAATATGATAGGCAACCAAGGGAGTACAGGGAAGTTAAGTCGGCAGGAAATCCCTTTGGCTGAAGAAATGAGAACGATTTCAAAACATGAGAGAAGGAGACTGTTGCTACTAGGAAAAATAGGCTTATAGAAAGAGAACCCGCAAAAGTACTTAGTTTAGGGAGTGAACTTGTTGCCGTGAGGTATGCTGTGAAGTGTACATGTATATCCCTTGGCGGTAATGAGTAGAGGTGAATCAGTTCTAATAACACTATTATAACATGTTACTGGGAATCTTTAAACCAAATGACTATGAATACAACTTATGGCGAATAGTTTTAACTAAATTAAGCTTTCTGGCTACTTTTGGAAAAAAATTAACCTGCATTATTTTTTAGTCAAAAAATTGATTCTACATAAAAGTGGATAGTTGAATGGCGAAAATGTTTTTTTATTTGAATGTTGCGTCTTATACTTCCATTACGTTACTGACTGTGACGTCACCCCAGGCTTCTGAGTGTATTTGTGCGTTTTAATTTTTTATACTAAACACTAGACATTATGACACATCAAATTTACAATAAACATTGTGGAAACCTTGAGTATAATGATAATGCTAAAATAATGTCAAAATATGTATATTCAATAATTTTATTGTTGTGTTGTTGTTGTTGGTAAATATACTGATCGAAGACTGTGCAGACAAAAATAGGACATTTTTACAATAACTGACAAATTTATCGCGCGCCGATTGCTTATTTTTTGTCATCAATAAGAGGACAGACAGATAAAGCTGACGTCAACGAGCGCGCTCTCTTGATCACTAAAAATGAGAAGTATTTATCATTTTTGTTATTGTAAAAAACAGCTAGACATCAGTTTTTTATGTGTCTGTCCTCTTATTGACGATAAATTGCGTCATCACATTTTGTAGATGCAAGTTTATATAACTTAAAGTATAGAGTTTAAGTTTCTGTGAAACCCAGGTACTCTGTCTGAGTCGGCTTGGCGAGCACTAGCAGTAGCCACGGTTTGGACCTCTGATGGAAAATTTGGAAGATTTGAAAATTCATTGTAAATCGTTATAGAGTATAATATATGACGGTATAGAATTTCATTAAATTATCATTATTATCATTATTATTATTATTATCTTTATTTACAATTTGCTTCAATTTTGCTTACAAAATCCTTAGTTTACCGAATCCAATCCATGGGCCTTGCGAAAACAATAATATATTTACAATACGAGGTGTAATTAAAATAGAAAATAAAATAAATCAATTCAATTTAAAGGGAAAATAGAAATCAAGAATCGAGTAATCATGAGAGTTGTTCTAATGATGTGTGCAGTTCCAAGAAGAGCAATCTTCTGTACTTCTGTGATAGAGATGTCCCCTTTTAAATAGCTGACATATTGTTCTAGTCCTTTGTGAATTAGCTCCAGTGCCCCAGTGACAATAGGTATGGTTTTTGTTTCCATACCCCACATATTTTTTATTTCTATTTCTAATATTTGTACTTTGAGAGTTTTTCTTCTTGTTTTAGGGGCACATTTCGTTCTGCTGGGATTGACACGTCTATCAAGGAACATCGTTTCTCTTTGTTCTTCTCTATAATGTCGGGTCTATTAGCTGTGATGGTTCTGTCCGTATGTACTTGCATGTCCCATAGGATTGTTGCTGTGTCGTTGTCCATTACTTTTTCAGGTTCATGCTCATTCCATTTTATGCAGGCAGTAAATCCATATTGCTTGCACAGTTTCCAGTGAACATATTTCCCAACTTTGTTGTGTCTTTCTATGTATTCCTTCATTGCAAGAACAGGACATCCAGATATGATGTGATCGATAGTGTCGTCGTAATCACCGCAGATTCTGCATTTAGTATTAACATCTTTTCCCATGATCTTATTCTCGTAATATCTTTTAGGCAACGTCTGCGTCTTGTGCTGCTATAATAAGCCCCTCTGTCTCTGACTTCAGACCTGTTCCTTTTAACCAACTGTGTGTTCTCTGTTTGTCGACATCTGCTTTGTTGACTTGCCTGATGTACTGGCCATGAAGGGGTTTAGACTCCCATTTTTCACATTGTTTCATTTGCAGATGATCTTTGTAGACGCTCTTTATCCTTTTTTTYCCCCCCAATTATGGAAACGTTAATTTTGCTTGGTAGAGATTCATTTAGCACATCTGTTTCGCCACATTCGGTCTTGAATCTTTTACTTTCTTTGTGTATGGAGTACATCTTTTTGTTGTTCTCATGCTTAGAGACTAGACGCATGAGGCAATCCTTGTTTTCTATCAAGTACACGGTCCAGACCAATAGTTGAGATCTTATACGAGTTTTCTATCTGGACTGACAAGTCCTCTACTTCTCTCTCTTCTCTTGACATATAATCTGTCAATATCCGCTTTAGGATGATGCATGCGGTTCATTGTTAATAAGGTATTTCCTCGTCTTTGCGTCAAATCTTTTGATTTCACTTTTAACTTCCAGTTGATGATGTTACTATTATTATTATTTGTATCACATTGTCAAAGTAGTATGCAGACCCACACTACTTTGATAATCTGATGATCGTCAATAAGAGGACAGACACATAAAAAACTTACGTCAATTTGTTTTTTACAATAACAAAAAAAACGATAAACGGCATTTGCTACCACTACCAGAATCATTTTAACACTTTTTTTGTTCAGTTAATTATTTAGTATTTGTTTCAATTAATAAAAAAAAAGAAGGAAAAAAAAAAAAAAAAAAAAAAAGAAAAAAAAAAGAAAAAGAAAAGAAAAAGAAAAGAAAAAGAAAAAGAAAAAGAAAAAGAAAAACGGAGAAGAAAAGAACATTAGGAGTAAAACCTATTTTCCATTTATCAACAAATAATTTCAAAATCTAAAAATAATCCCTTAAAATAGACACAGTTCATAAAAGACAGGGCTGACAGACAATAAGGCTTCATTAAAATACCATGAAATTCAATCTTATGAAATCATCATACTCTAAAACTAATTCAAATTAAAAAAACGCTACTAATGATCGATATATCAAAGAACTTAAAAACATTTGCTGTATTTACGTGACATTTAAACTAAAGTCTTGTATGAAGTCATTGTTAGTGCGAAATGGCATTGGTGAGCCTCTAACGCTCAGATGACGCTCATATGGACAGATCTTAATATCTCAAAACACAGGCGTGTTCTTAACCACGAAATTACTGTAGCGTACGACTCCCCATTCTTTCTTGAAAGTTTCTGAGCCACATGTTTTAAGAACATTTGGCATTCCGCTCCCATTCCGCCATTAGTGCCAAAGAGGTGTAAAGGTCCCCATTTCCCCATTTAGGAGCCAAACCTTGAGTAGGTATAACGTTCACCCAGGTATTAACGCTCCTCACATATGCTTGACTCAGTATCTTGAATGCTGAATACTCCAGTTTTGAATTCTCTCTTGCTCAGGGTTAGCCTAATTGCAATCCGTCTTATTAACCAAGGGCACTAGGACACCGAATGTGGTTGGATTTCTATAGGTTTTTTTTTTTTTTTTCTTTCGATTATTTGAATTAAATCAACGTTATACTTGTTTATTTATCTTGTGTCCGTGTTCCTTCGTCCGCTGTTATAATGCAGACGTTTTCATTCCAAAGGTCAAACGGTTTGAATAGCCTWTGAGCGTTACTTCTTTAACGGCCGTTCCGTACTTGACTCTGTTTGTACTATACCAACAACAACGCCACCGCGTGATGCTCCTTACGTCAGTAATATTCAACCGTCCAGAGTTAATATGGTTAATCAAATTCACCTTAAGTTCCATATAGAGCCCTATTAAAAGAAGTAACGCTCATAGGCTATTCAAACCGTTTGACCTTTGGAATGAAAACGTCTGCATTATAACAGCGGACGAAGGAACACAGACACAAGATAAGTAAACAAGTATAACGTTGATTTAATTCAAATAATCGAAAGGAAAAAAAAAACCTATAGAAATCCAACCACATTCGGTGTCCTAGTGCCCTTGTATTGACGAGTCTTTTTATCATCAAATTTCCAGCGATTCAGCGCGTGGCTCGATTTTCAGCGTGAGGTTTGGTGCATAGTGGTCAGTGATTCGTGTCAGAAGAAAACAACAAATTGATTTAGCACGTAGCCTGGTTCTTAAATACTCGTGTGTGACAAGCCAAGACCTTACGTATATATATACTATCGATGTATCACGTATCGGGATCTAGATCTACCCCACGGCGTAACCGGTTCCTATCTGCCAAATGCGGCCCAGTCTCCTTGATCCCCGTTGCCAATTCGTTTCTGTTAAGGCCAATTAATTCGCCATGACACTTAGATATTGCCGCAAATAACTCTCCTGTCCCTTGATCTCGAAAAACAAAATAGAGATAGTTTTTATAATTGCATTTATTCTTATTTTATTTACTTATTTCAAAGATGCTTTAGGTATAAAACGCTCTCTATCAAAAAAAATTGTATGGTGAGATTATCAAAATATGCTCACGTAATTCTTTACCTTGCGCCGATCCAGATTTGAAACTAAACTTTCATTTCCTTAATTTTTCCGCTTGTTATTTTATAAAAGAAATTTCAAAGAGAATTTTTTCGTGTTTAATACTTGGATCAAAACACTTGAAATGCTGAGAGAGCACTTGAGAAATGGGAATCCAGTCCGCTTCGCGTCGTGGATGCTTTTCTCCCGTGTTCTGTCAGCAATACGATTGTTTTGACCCAAGCATAAAACAGGAAAACTGTTTTATATTTCTTATCATTTTTCATTATTATCATAATCTTAAAGTTCTTTACATGAAACATATTATCTCGTGCACAAACAGAGTATAAGAGATAACCGCCTTGGATAAAGTCCAACATCCCCAGAAGCTTCCTAGACTTGACAAGGAGGAGACGCCTTACTTGGCCAATCACACTGTTTTTTAACGTCGTTCCACATCAGTAGGGCAGGACAGTACTTTTCATACTTCGAACCATTTGAACAAGTTATAAACCCATAGCAGTCGTTAGGATTCGGATAGTCACCGTCCACTTTCCCTGTACAGAAATTTCCTAAAAAAAAATTAATTGATATTAATAAAAGGGTGCAAAGGATAAAATATTATTGCAGGCAGAAATTGGTTCCATAGGTTTAAGGCCCAATTGATAGAAGTCAACGTTCCAGTTACTACTGAATGAGTTGAGGAACATACCGGCCATTTTAATACGCAATAAAATTTCGGCACTAATTGGTTTTTGAATGAATCTTTACGAATAACAACTTTATCTTGGAGAGGAATCGCATAAAATATCAGAGCAGGAGCCCATTACCTATTTCGAGTTATCATTATCTTGGACTGGATATTTTTAAGTTCGTAGTATTTGACTATAGCTTTGTTCTTTATTTCTCGAGTGTTTGGGAAATCGTTCTAAATATAGATGGGTTTGAAAAACGATGGCTCCTAAGGAAGATATGTGAGTTGTTCGCTCCGGGTAACTAGGCACTTACTTGGTGGTGTGAATGCTACACTTTTTGTCATCCCATGACAGCCGGGATTCGCATGTTGAGACCAATCACATCTCTTCTCTTCATCATTCCAATACAGATCGGCGGGGCACGGCATATGGTAGGTAAAGAAATTAGAGCAGGCGATGTAGCCTTGGCAGGTTTTGGGGCTTGGATAGTTGCCATTTGGCTTTCCATTGCAATAGTTATCTAAAAATTCAGAACATTAGTTAATTATAACTAGACTTGTAGCCGACTAATTAAAGAGTAAATTGAAGGCTTTTATTTTAATCACTGTATTGATATTGGTTTCCCTGTGGCGGTTTTGGCGGGAAAACACGCGAGTGTAGCCCAAGCAACAAACATGGCGGCCTTCTAGGATCTACATAAACTTGCTATTATCGAAATTACCAAAAGTCAATCTTTTCGAATAAAAGCTAAATTAAGCACATCCTCGCAATAAATGTATAAAGCTGTCGTGGTTTTGGTATCTTCTCACACACATTCTTCGCACATGCATTGTTTACTTGTTTAAATTGACTTTGAAAAATGTTTCCTTAGCTTGTTTTCGATATATAAACCAGTTGTTCTTTCTTGTCAGTGAATTTATCGAATTTATTCATTTAGTATTACCTCATAAATTAGTCTAATACAACTAAGGCAGTTTAAATGTTATAAGCCAAGTGGTTTCTTTTTAAACTGCCTTACCATCGGGATATTAAATCTTATCGCATTAGCATTATTGTAACTATTTTCTTGTTAATAACGAAACTTTATATTAGTCCATTATCAATATTCACTTTGTAAAACCAATTATTTAATTTGTATTTATCTGTAATATATATAGTACTATGCATATGTTTCTAAAAATTGTATAATTAGAATCTAATATTGGAACTTGATTGTAAACATTTCACAATATTCTGATGGTTTGTAATAAATATTGATTGATTGATATGCCAGCCTGTACAGATCAGTCATTACCTGTCAAAACTGGACCAATTTTTATCCAATCATCGCATAGATCAAATTTGTTTACGTGAGTTTGACGACAGACGCGCGCTCTTTTTGTAAACAAATCTTTTTTTTGAAATTTTACGCTATTTTTTTCGTAAAAATCTATTATATAAAGCGAATAGATCAGGCTTAGCTATGTTCTGTTCTCTGATAAAACACTCCTGAAGCTGTAGAACACTCAAAAAGTTATAGAAACCACTCGCCTACGGCTCGTGATTTCTATAACTTTTTTCGTGTCCTACAGCTCCAGTCGTGTTTTATCAGAGAACAGAACATAGCTAAGCCTGATTTATTTGTTAATGATATATCGGCGGGTTTCGATATTTACGCTCAAGCTTAGTGTCCCAATAGATCTTTTCCAAGTCAGACGAGCGCTGTCAAAATAATCGCGTACTCAGATTCGAAAACGAGGCACTTTCGGGTAAGACCTTATTTGCACTACTGGAAAACACGTACAAACCTTTAAAATTTTAAGGAGTGGTCAATGCTAAGCGTGCATATATCCAGTTCTGGATGCACGCGGGAAGTGGCTAAGCAATAAGGTAGCGAAACTAGAGCTGCACGAGGCGTAGCGGGGTGCAACTCTAGCTTTTTGAGTGCTTAAACAACCTCCCAAGTGCATCCAGAATTAGATATACGCACGACTAAGCATGGAACATTGCTTTTATGACATAGCAAAGCTGTAAAAATATTTGTTTATCAAAAAAAAATTCAATTTTTGTCATAACGAAATATCCATTGCATCCAGCTAATCTTTGAAAAAAAAGTTAGCCAATCAGAATCAACAAAAGTTTGCAAAACTGATGTGCCATTTTTTTCCTCTTGAAATCACGGATTTCCAAACCACTAAATAAAAGAGAACGTTGCTGATACACGTTTGATAACAGTCTAATTAAACATTAACTTGGATTTTCTCTATCAAACTTGGTTCATTTCGTTAAGAATTCAGTACAATATGAGAACATACATCATCAGTTTTTGAAGCCGTTCAATAAACTCGCAGATCGTGTTCTATCGGGTATAAGAATCTGCTGGTTTATTAAACACTACGTGAAGGAATACTTTAAAGTTATTTTTAGTAAGGAGCCGGATTATAACTTTTTGAAAAATATAGCTTACTTCAGAAAAGTCTTTTCATAACCGAAAGGTTTTCAAAGGTTTCTTATAAGAACAATGCCCAAAATGCCTCGTTTTCGTGTCTGCGCTTGATATATTTATGAAAGCGCTTGAACATCTCGGAAATCGTCTATTCGAGCGCTATTGTTTTCTTTCAAAGTAAATTCGTCTCAACAAAACCAACTTACAATACTGCAAAAAAGATAACCTAGTAATCCTAGAAACAATGGTCAAGGACTACTTATTACCTTTATTACACACGATGTGATAATCAAATCCAAGCTTCTCTTCTATAACTGGTTCTTCTCTCCCGATGGGTTTGAGGTGTTCGTTATCCACTTGATATTTCTCCTCAAGCCTTTTCGCTTCTGCAGCTTCTTTTTTGCTCAAACGGAATAGTTTAATAGCCCGATCACTAATTCCACTGAAACGCCGACGAGGGATTTTGCCCAAAATTTCTGGACTTGCACCTAAAATATTTGTTGAATAACGGAGTCACATAAAACGTTTTTTTAGTTAAATAATTAATGAACAAGGGCGGATCCAGGGGGGGGGGCAAAGGGGGGCTGAAGCCCCCTTTCAGCAAAAAAACAAAACAAAACAAAACAAAATAAAACAAAACAAAACTAATCAAAACTAATCAAAACTAAAGAATTAGATGCTTTTTTATTGTTTTCCGTTGTGTTGACGGAAGAAATTCAATAAGCCCCCCCCCC